CGGCCTCTGAAGCCTCCCGCTCTTCTCCTCCCGCAGCGGTGAAGCGTCTCCCGGAGCACGTGCAGGTGGACGACCCGGCCGCCCAGAAGAAGCTGGCCAAGAAGCTGGAGCGGCAGCAGGTGGGGGGGGGCAGCGCCGAGAAGGGCACCTCTGAGCATGGGCAGCCTGCCTCCAGCCCTCCCCCCTTTCTGTAGGAAGCGGGGGGTGGTGGTGGGGGGGTGAAGCAAAGTAGAGCCTCCCCTCCTTTCCCCTGGTGGGGGGGGGGAAGGACTGGAAAGCCCTCTGGCGGGGGTCCTCCCCCCCCATCTCGTTGGTTCCACAGACTTTGTAGGGAGATCTGCTGGCCTTGCATGCTCTTGTTTTTCCCAGCAGGGCTCTGGTCCTTCCTGTTTCCAACCCTGAGTTTTGCCTGGTTGAAAACGGGAAGGCCCGGAGCCAAACTCCCTTGCCTCTTACAGTGTTACGCGCGACCTGCCAGGGAAGAGGCAGGCAGAACATCTCCTGGGGAGCCTCCGCACCCACCTGGGGGCCCTCCCAACCTTGCCCAGGTAGAGCAGGAGGGAGGCAGCCAGCCGGTTTTCTTGTCTCCCTGTTTTTTTTTCCAGGGGATTAAACACAAGTTTGTTATAGGAACAATCTCTGTAGTCTGCTTAGCTGTTCAGTTGGATTATTGCTGCCTGCCAGAAGGGCACAAGATATATGGCCATTTCCTCTTGGCTGGCATTCCATGATTTAGTATGGAGAATCTGCAGAAAAGCTAATTCCGCAAGTGCAGGCTCTAGAAGGAAGTGGTAACAGCAAACCGTTTCCCCAAACCTCTTACCTACCCCTTTATCAGTTTTGCAAAGGAGAAGTTCCTATTTTGCCCACATCCCATAATGGCTCACAGAAAAGTTTACTGACTTGATAGCACTGAATTGACATTCTTTTGATTTTAGCCTGCGGATTTGTTTTATGAGCTGAATCGGAAGTATACACTTTGGTAGGGACACTAGCGCTCTCAGACACGGGACTCCTCTCACGGGAGGCCGAGTCGCTGTCCTTCCGCCAGCTGGGAGATGCAGGGAAGAGACTTCCTCCTGACCGAGCCCTGCTCGCTCTCCCCCCTTCTGCAGGTGCCCCTGAGGCCGGATTATGGGGCCAAAGTCAGCCTCTTCTCCCACTTACACCAGTACAGCCGCAAGGAGCTGCTGACTCAGCAGATGAGGTGGGTGTCAGGGTGTGCATGAGGTGTTGGTGGTGGAGCGAAGCTGATCTTCTGCTGGGGGCTTCGCCTGTGGGTGGATCTGTCCAGAGTTTCTCTTTCCGAAAGCTTAGGATGAGACACATATTCTGGCCATAGAGCTGTCAGGCTCTCCAGGGCCACTTCCTGCCAGTACAGGAAGTCCTTCCCTGCAGCCTTCTGGCCATTTGGTTTCTGCTGAAGGCTCCAACATCCGACAGGTCTCCTTGTCCAGAAGCAGAGTGCCTGCTGGGCCTGCTCTTGCTAGGGTGCCCGCTCCAGGCTATGAGAGGCAGGTGATGGAGCAACAGCAGATGATGCAGAAGAGGAAGGGAAGTGGGTTTCTCCAGCCGACCACTTACCTTGCCTGCCCTTGCCCGGCACTGAGGGTACGTGGAAAGCCTTTGGAGCAGGTGGCTTGGGCTTAACCTCATCTCATGTGCAGCCGTTTTTGTTCGGATCATGTGGATGCAAGCGAGGTTAGGGCAGGCTCTCCGCTGACTGAATTTGGATTTGAATTAGTACTGGACAGGTGTGGGTGTGACTTGGGTGGGTTCTTGCTTTCTTCAGTGGGCTCTGGGGGATCAGATTCCATTTTGGTTTAGAACAGCAAGGGTTGTCCTTCCCCCCCCCATCACCCAGGCTTCCTTTCGTAATAGTTTTTATGGACTTGGGAACTTCATTTCCTTCGCTGTTTGCCTTGCCTGGAGGGAGGTCTTTTTGCTTGGTTTTAGCCAAAGCGAATGCCCTGGCCCTGAGTGAATGGCGCCCCTCCCCAGCCCTCACAAGCTTTGGATGTGAAGGATGCCCGTTCCTGCTCTGGCAGCCATGCACAGCCCACGGGGGCTTTAAAGAGCGTAGGGGAAAAAGCGAAGGCCAGGAAAACATTGGGGGCAGCTTGTTCCAAAGGCTGGAAAGAGTCTTGGCTGTGGTTTGGCCTTGCAGGATGCCGTCTTTGCATTCTGTCTTCTTGCTAAGTTTCATGGGATGTGTAACAAGCCTCACCTTGAAGTTACAATCTTTTGTCTGCTCCCATTCCAAACATTTGGAAAACCAGATATTGGCCCAGATTGAAGCCAGGTCTCCAGACTCCTTCAACCTGATATGGGAACTGGGAGAGAGTCTTAGTGTAGTAGTCGTTGACGGAGGGAGTTACACCTGGAGGGTGATGATGTGAAGTGGTTGGAGAAACACATCAGTGCAACTGTCTGCCTTTCACAGCATCCCTGCCTCTGTTATTCACCCTGCGGTGGTGCGGCTTGGGCTCCAGTATTCCCAGGGCATCATTAATGGCTCCAATGCGCGCTGCATTGCACTCCTCCGGGTCTTCAAACAGGTAGGGGTGGGGGCACGGGGGAGGGTCTTTCTCTCTCTCGGTGCCTACGTGCCTTCTCCATGGGCACCTTTTCCAGTGGGTCTCTGATTGCCCCCTGGAAAGATAACGGAGGTTCCGAGCACCCACAGCCTGACCCAGTTACAGCAGAGGGCCACTGAACTGCCCTGCCCTGTGGCTTTTGGAAAGGGTTTGGATGGTGGGCTGGACTTCCAAGGGTTCATGAGGCATAAAACGCAGGGGGGTGAGCTGAGGGTCAATCGTACTCTCAGCCTCACCTCCTCTGTAGCCTCATGGTGAGCACCGAGTGCGGAGGAGGGAGGGGAGTCACGAGGCCTTCTAGAGCCAAGTGTAAGCAGCAGAAGGTGGAAGTGCAACTAAAAGCCACCCTCCACCTGCTGCTGGCCTGTTGTCCTCTGCAGGTAATCAGAGACTATGCCACCCCAGCAAACGAAGAACTCTCTCGGGACTTGGTGAACAAGCTGAAGCCTTATATCAGGTGACGAGGGGGTGCCCCCTTTGGAAGGGGCAGCAGGCTTGGAGCATTGGGGGCGGGCGGGTGGAAGTGCCAGCAGGGCCAGGCTGAGCCTGCGTTTTTCCTGCAGCTTCCTGAACCAGTGCCGGCCCCTCTCTGCCAGCATGGGCAACGCTATCAAGTTCCTCAAGAAGGAGATTTCCGCTTTGCCGGGCTCTATGCGTGAGGAGGAGGTGAGGCTGCGTTGAGAGGCTAGACCTCCCTCCCACCTTGGATGGGAGCCCTTTGGGGCCGCGCTCCGCTAGGCTGTGCCCCTTTCGGTAACAAAGGGTTTAGGAGAGCCTTGTGCTCTCCAGAGGGCCAGCAGGGAAATCCGCAACCCTTCGGTGAGCCAAGTGTAGAGGTCGAAAGGTAGCCCTCTCCAGCCATGACCACTCCCTTCTGTTAACGACAGGCCAAAGGGGTCCTGCAGGAGACCATTGAAAAGTTTGAGCGGGAGAAGATTGTCCTGGCAGCGAAAGCCATCTCCAAGTTTGCCTTTGAGAAGATCAACAACGGAGATGTCATTCTGGTCTACGGCTGGTACAGAGGGGCAGCAGTGGGGCTGGTGGGGTCAGAGGGCTTGAGCTACATCAGTGGCAAGGGGGAAGCTGTGGGGCAGGGAACGGGGTGGCGGGGCAAGGAGCCATATAGCGCATGTCCTGGCCTGCACAAAGAGGAAACGCCAGAATGTTCAAGAACGCGTTTGGGGGGAGAGGGGACCTACCCCCCCACCCTGCAGCCCAGCAGCTGGAAGGGGTGCTGGGCAAATCCCATGTTAAAAAGGCCTCCTGCCTCTCCCCACCCCAAAACACAATTCAGGCGAGGTGCCCCTGGATAACCCCATGCGTGTCTCTGCTTCCCGACAGCTCCTCCTTGGTGAGCCGGACACTCTGCTACGCCAACGCCAAAGGCCGGGCCTTCCGTGTGGTGGTGGTGAACAGCCGGCCACGGCTGGAGGGTCGTGAGACGCTGCGCCGCTTGGTCAAGCAGGGAGTCCGCTGCAGCTACGTCCTCATCAACGCCATCTCTTACGTGCTGCCTGAGGTGCTGGGGCTGGGACTCTCGCAGCCAGGCCGAGCTGCTGCTCCTCCAGCGGCCTGGCCGGCCCCAGGCAGGGCTTGAGATCCCTGGGGGCTGGGTGGGAAAGTAGTCTGGGGACTGACCCTCTTCTCTCCCGGCTCCCGCAGGTCTCCAAGGTGCTGCTGGGCGCCCACGCCCTCTTGGCCAACGGCTCGGTCATGTCGCGGATGGGCACTTCCCAGATCGCCCTGCTTTCCAAGGCCCACAACGTGCCGGTGCTGGTCTGCTGTGAGACCTACAAGTTCTGTGAGCGGGTGCAGACAGATTCCTTTGTCTCCAATGAGCTCGGTAGGCAGGAGGGGGGCGTAGATGAATTGGCCTTCTTGGAGTGTTGCAAAATGCTCTAGTGTATCTCCAGGGGGTCTGCCAGTCGCACCCTGAAACTGGGGAGTCAGAGCGTCCGAGGCCAAGGAGGCCTTTTTCTGATTCTGCAGAATAAGGAAGCACACTGACGCAATTGCTCAAAACTATGTCTCTCTCTCTAATCAAAGGAAAGATAGTCCTTCAAGGAGACTTTACATACGTATAGCTTGTTGCCTCATTTTAAATCCAGTATTAAGACAGTTTCTGTTGCCTCCAGATTTATTTGTCTTTATATGTTCCATGGTGTAGATAAGCAAGGCCAAAACTTAAATCAGTTCCTTCCTAAATGAATTGCTAGATTATATGTTGCCCTTTCCTTCCTAAATTATTTTTTTAATTAAGAAAAAACAATAAGAACAATGCTAACATAAAATGTGTGTGCCTACGTACCGTCTTCCTTCCTAGATTGTGTGTGTTCAGTCGTTTAGTCGTGTCCGACTCTTCGTGACCCCATGGACCAGAGCACGCCAGGCCCTCCTATCTTCCACCGCCTCTCGGAGTTGTGTCAAATTCCTGTTGGTTGCTTCGATGACACTGTCCAACCATCTCATCCTCGGTCGTCCCCTTCTCCTCTTGCCTTCACACTTTCCCAACATCAAAGTCTTTTCCACGGAGTCTTCTCTTCTCATGAGATGGCCAAAGTACTGGAGCCTCAGCTTCAGGATCTGTCCTTCCAGTGAGCACTCGGGGTTGATTTCCTTTAGAATTGATAGGTTTGTTCTCTTTGCAGTCCAGGGAACTCTCAAGAGTCTCCTCCAGCACCCCAATTCAAAGGCATCAATTCTTCGGCAGTCTGCTTTCTTTATGGTCCAGCTCTCACTTCCATACAACACTACAGGAAAAACCATAGCTTTGACTATGCAGACTTTTGTTGGCAAGGGGATGTCTCTGCTTTTTAAGATGCTGTCAAGGTTTGTCATTGCTTTCCTCCCAAGAAGCAGGCGTCTTTTAATTTCGGGGCTGCTGTCTCCATCTGCAGTGATCATGGAGCCCAAGAAAGTAAAATCTGTCACTGCCTCCATATCTTCCCCTTCTATTTCCCAGGAGGTGATGGGACCAGTGGCCATGATCTTAGTTTTTTTGATGTTGAGTTTCAGACCGTTTTTTGCACTCTCGTCTTTCACCCTCATTACAAGGTTCTTTAGTTCCTCCTCACTTTCCGCCATCAGAGTGGTATCATCTGCATATCGGAGGTTGTTGATATTTCTTCCTGCAATCTTAATTCCAGCTTGGGCTTCCTCCAGTCCAGCCTTCCGCATGATGTATTCTGCATATAAGTTAAATAAGCAGGGTGACAATATACAGCCTTGTCGTACTCCTTTCCCAATTTTGAACCAATCAGTTGTTCCATATCCAGTTCTAACTGTTGCTTCCTGTCCCACATATAGGTTTCTCAGGAGATGGATCAGGTGGTCAGGCACTCCCATTTCTTTTAGGACTTGCCATAGTTTGCTGTGGTCCACACAGTCAAAGGCTTTTGCATAGTCAATGAAGCAGAAGTAGATGTTTTTCTGGAACTCTCTGGCTTTCTCCATAATCCAGCGCATGTTGGCAATTTGGTCTCGAGTTCCTCTGCCCCTTCGGAATCCCACTTGTACTTCTGGGAGTTCTCGGTCCACATACTGCTGAAGCCTACCTTGTATGATTTTGAGCATAACCTTGCTGGCGTGTGAGATGAGTGCAATTGTCCGGTAGTTGGAGCATTCTTTGGCACTGCCCTTCTTTGGTATTGGGATGTAGACTGATCATTTCCAGTCCTCTGGCCACTGTTGAGTTTTCCAAACTTGTTGCCATATTGAATGTAGCACCTTAACAGCATCATCCTTTAGGATTTTAAATAGTTCGACTGGAATGCCATCACCTCCACTGGCCTTGGTGTTAGCAGGCTTTCTAAGGCCCACGTGACCTCACTCTCCAGGATGTCTGGCTCAAGGTCAGCAACTATATTGTCTGGGTTGTCCGGGATATCCAAAACTTTCTGATATAATTCCTCTGTGTATTCTTGCCACCTCTTCTTGATGTCTTCTGCTTCTGTGAGGTCCCTTCCATTTTTGTCTTTTATCATGTCCATCTTTGCACAAAATTTTCCTCTAATATCTCCAATTTTCCTGAACAGATCTCTGGTTTTTCCTTTTCTGTTATTTTCCTCTATTTCTTTGCATTGTTCATTTAAGAAGGCCTTCATAGATTAATTGCTGAATTACACATGATCCATAATATGCTAGAGAGTTACACTTAGGGTTATACAGGCATAGAAGGGCCTTTTAAAAATTGTGACATCATTGCGAAGCAAGAAACAAAGTTCAATTAACATTTGTAATGGGAAGGAGTGAAGGTCACCTTGGGAGTATCTTGCCCCAGATTTGCTTCAAGACATCAGACACTTAAGAGTTCTCAGGCAACAACTCTGTCAGGTAAGATTAGGCTGGGAACACCAGAAGCAGAGTCCCCTTGGTGGTCTGTGAGGCCCAGCAAGTTGGCAATTCGCCTCAGAATGTTCTGTGAACTGAGAGTGTTCCAAGGAGAATGAGCAAGGGAGAATCCGCCATGCAGGGGGCAAGCAGGGTGGGGCGAGGCTGCTGCTGGGCTGCCATGGTAGGGAAGGGGCCAGGGAGCTGCAAAGGCCTCTGGATCCTTGTAGCTGAGGTTTTGAGGGTTAGAAGCTGGATAGAGAAGGGAAGGCAGTCTTTCCTTTCCATGGGGCTGCCCAGACTTCATCCCTGTGTTGGGGTGGCTGCTCCCTAACAGTAAGCCATGTGCCCGCAGATGACCCGGATGACCTGATTGAGACACATCACGGCGAGTGTCCGCTGGCTGGCTGGCAGGAAAGCAAGTGGCTGCGCCTCCTCAACCTGGTCTATGATGTGACCCCTCTGGAGCTGGTGGATCTGGTGATCACAGACCTGGGAATGATCCCCTGCACCTCAGTCCCAGTTGTGCTGCGGGTCAAGAATGTAGAGCAGTAACAAGGAGTGGGATGTGGGGAGTCAATAAATCTGTATGTGTCCTATGGCTCTGCTCCATTTTATTTATTATTTGTTTATTTCATTTCCATACTGGCCATCTGGCAACCCAGGCACTCTGGGCGGTTTACACAGTACAATAAACAAATTATAAAGACAAAATAATACAATAACAGGGCAATAATAAAACAGTCAATACAATATAGACAAATGAAAATGTTGTGCTCCCACTCCGAGGCCCAACCCTTCTGGATATGGTTTCCTGAAAGACAAACAAAGCGACTAATGCTTGGACCAGAAGGGGGGACCTGATGGGCATTTTCTTTGGGGGGGCGCTGTGTCCTAGGCCAGTGGTCCTTAACCTTGGGTTACTCAGGTGTTTTTGAACTGCAACTCCCAGAAACCCCAGCCAGCAGAGCTGGTGGTGAAGGCTTCTGGGAGTTGCAGTCCAAAAACACCTGAGTAACCCAAGGTTAAGAACCACTGGCCTAGGCAAGCATCTACTCATGGATAGTTTCTGAGGCTGTCCTTTGGCTCAAGGAAATGGGGGGCGCGGAGGGGGGGCTTCTATGAAGGGAATGGGAGGGCTATTAACTGTGGACGAGGCACTACCCCTGGCCAGCCTCAACTGGCTCATGACTGGTGCAGTGGGCTTGGACCAAACAGCTTTTACCAGCACTCTGCCTATAAGGGTGGGGTTTTCCAAGGCTTATTTTGGAAGCGACCACAAGATTTGTCCAGCATTTTGTCTGTTTTGTTATGAAACAGTTTGCTATGTGCCAACAAGGCACCTCCCCACTTAGGGCAACTCTTAAGAGAGGGTTTTCAAGGTACCTGAGACGTTGAAGGAACGGTTTGGCACTGCCACACCCTCGGACATGAGGCGTGAATCCTGGTAGCTGCCACCGCCTCCCACTCTCCCCACCCGAACTCTTGTCCCTTCCCAGCTGGTCGGTGTCCCTGATTCACCCAGCAAACGAAAGGACTGGGAAACACAAGAGACGACCCGACCGAAGAGTCTCAAGACCCACGGAAGGAAGGAAGGAGCCTCTCCCCTTCCCTCCTACACTACCGGAGTCGCCGCGGCCGCCGCCTCCGCCTCCCAAGGCAACGGGGACGGTTCCCGGCTTGGCTCCCCTTGCGAGCAGGTCCGGAGGGAAGGCCCAGGGCCGCCGCCGCCTCCTTCCCCGCCGGCGGCCTGGCTTCCTTCCGTCCCTCTCTTCTCGCCTGGGGCTCCTCGCGAGAAGAGCGACCGCCTGGAAGCCTCGCGGCGCCGCCTCGGGGCTGCCGCCGGCCTTGAGCCTCACCGCCCCCCCCTCCAGCCCCAACCGGGACACGCTTCCTCCTTCCCGAGCACCTTCGCCTCCAAACCGTCGCGTCTTCCGGCCTCCCAGCATGCCCCGCGGCGAGGCGACCCGGCCTCTCGCCTTCGAGGCCTCTGATTGGCCTGCTAGGCTGGGCCGCCCGGGCGGGGAGCCGGGTGCCGGAAGTGACGCCACGGCCGCTCGGTCATCATTCTGCGCCCGCAGTGGCGGCCATCTTGCCTGCTCTGGTTCGGGAGAGGGGCGGCGGCGGCAACGGCCGCGGCCACAAGGGAGCGGCCCTCCAGGCGGCCGATGGCGGGGGGGGAGGGGAAAGGGGGCTTCTCGGGTCGGCTGTCCGGGATCCGACCCCGGGAACCGTCGCCGCGTCGGAGGAGGATCCGGTAGCCGTTGCCGCCCCCCCCTCCGGATCCGGCGCTCGGATGGCCGCTGCGGCCGTGGCTGCTTCCCCCGAAGAGGCGCCCACGAAGAGCCTCGCGGCGCCCGACAGGCAGCGG